AGAGAGCACATTTTGTTGAGCGTATTGTTTTATCTTTGCCAGTTCCCGTTGATGTTTATGGGTTGCAAGCTTTTTCAACTTCAAGTGTGGAATACATCAGGAAAGAGAAAACCCAAGGAGGCCTCCTGCATGTTTCTTTACGAATCTTGAGTTTCCTGCCTGGTCTTGCTTCTTATTCTATGCATCAGTGTCATTTTATGTTTATTTCATGCATAATACCAAGGATTTTTATGTGCTTAGTAGGAGAATTAAGGAAAAGTAGATCTTCCAAGAAATAAATGCTTGTTAAGTGTATTATTTCCTTTCTGTTGACAGATTTTTCCACTTTCATTATATCAGCCCAACAGGCTATACTTTTTACGGGTTGGCTTAATTTGGGACACCCACAGTAGAAGTATAAAGATGTTATTTTTTCCTGTATTTCATACTGGATAATGACTTTTTTTCTGCTGAAACCAAAGTGATCTGGGAAAAAAAAATGGTTACTGGTTAACAATGAAAAGACTAAATGTCTTACAAACAATCATAAAACAAAATCAATGAAGGAAAAATTAAACACATTAAAGTTCTTAGATTATCCTTATGTACAGAAATCCATGGACGTGAGTAAATAACACTGTGCGTTTGAGAATGAAATGTTGTTGTCCTCCAAGAGCATTCTTCAAACTGCATCCAGAGTGATTTTATTCCACTCCGTAATTTAAAACATTGTCATTGTTCCCCGTTGTCTCTATGAAAAACTTTTGAATGTAACTTCCCCAACCTTGATGTTTCTCATACCCCCTTACCTTTCTAGCCTCACCCTTCTGTGCCCTCCTTTTTTTTCAAGTCTACCATGTCCTTAGTGCCTATGATGGTTCCTGATTCTGTAATGCTTTCACCCTGCTTCTACTCCTCCTCTCGTGTCTACTCATGGTTTGTCTCTTCTTTGAAATCACTTTGACCAGCAAAGCTTACTCAACCACCCTACCACTTTCTCCAGTCTGGATGACGGCCCTGTCCTGTATTGTCGTGTGTGATGTCTTGGATTTGAAATGTCCCTCAGTACTCATGCACTAGAAGCTTGCTTACCAGCTGATGGGCTTCTGGGATGTAATTGGATCATTCAGGTTCTAACTTCAGGGAGAGGATTACTCCATTGATGAGATCATAATTTGTGGCAATACTGGGAGGAGAGATAAGCAGGAGGTAGGAATGGAGTAGATCATGGGGTGTGACCTTAGGACTCCCCCTGGTTCCCAGCCTCTTACTCTCTGGTCTTTCCCTTTCTCTTAGCTTCCTAGCTGCCATGAGGTGAGCAGCTTTGCTCCACTGTGCCTTTCCACCTTGGTATTTGGGCTTTGCCACAAGCCTAAAAACAATGGAGCCACCCAATCATGCTCTGAGACCCTGAAAGCAAGAATCAAATAAACCTTTCTTCCTTTAAATTGTTTTCTCCAGTTTTTGGTCACAACGATGAATGATGCTACGCGGTACTTTTCCTGTGTTTGTTTAAGGCTAAAACTGGCAAAGGTTGTCCTTTGCTTTATCTTCATTATCCCTTTACCTGTTTTATCCTTTTCATCCCTAACAAGGGTCATGGAATTTTACTTTTACAGTTCGGCTATGCACATGGTCGCCCATGCAGTAGTAATGGAAAAACCAGTTCTCCAATTAGTTACATAACTTAGGAGCACACAGCATCAGAGCCAGGAATAATTTGCAAATTTCTTACTCTTACACTCAATCCTTTGTACCATGCCCCATTTTAGTGGGTGAAATGGGGAAAAGGCAGTGACATGGTGAAATTTAATGTGATGAAACCATTGCAATACCCAAAAAATACTTAATTTTATGCATACACATATTATTCAAAAGATATATTGAACAGGTATATTAAAATGGGTCTACGAAAAGAAAACAACTGTTACATGACTAGAGTACTTCAAAATGGGGTAGAATACACCACACAAATCATCAAAATGAGTGTCAGGCAAATCAGATCAGTCTGAATCACATCTTATGGATACCACAGAAGAAAATCATTTAAATCTGTCCATTAACTCCTTAACTCTTTACTGACTATATCTTTAGCTATACTGGAGTATGAGATTGTTGTACAATACTTTTCTTTAAGTATCTTATTATGAAATAGAGCTTTAATTGCTATAAACAAGTCACAATGTGTGTCATGAACCAAAAATTATGATTAATCCAGTTTAGAGCAACTGGGTTTAAATAGAAACAAAATTAACATGATATATGTGATGTGATATAAATGGTGTAGGAATTTTTATAAAATGCTTATTTTTAGTTCTGAAAGTGGTAGGACTTGAATTGGGTTTCAATGACAACACTTGGACCCTTAGAGACTGGGGAGATTATTATAAAGATTAAGAAGTCCAAACCTTAATAGGGACATGCGGTAGCTTATCTAGATGGGAAGGTAGCCTAATCTATAGATATAATGGGATATGAGGCAAGAAAAATGAAATGGAAAAGTGGCTTGTATTGAGATTTGACTTCCAGGTCACAGAGATGGTCATTGTTCAATTGGCAGTGGTGTTGCAACAGAGACTTTTGGGCAGAAAAATAGAATAATAAGGAAATGTGTTAAGCGTATTAATTTTGTACCTGAATGTGAAACAATATAAAATAGTAGTACATAGAAAAGTTGTAGAATCAAACAAGGAATAAACTAATAAGGTCCTAATTTAGTGTGATCATAATGGAAATCAAGAACAGAAATTGATGTAATCTACATTTCCAAATTACCAGAGACCACAATGTCTTGTTGAATGAGAGACAGAGGCAAGGAAGAAAGAAAACATAGTAGGCAGCTACGGCCTGAGATTTTACTTGTAACCTGTCACTCTTCATAGGCCCCCCACCCAGTGAAAAACAAATTTGACAGGCACCAAACTACACTCGGAGTCTTTTTTTTTCCATTCCAGCTGGTAAGGTCAAGTGTTACTAGGTCTGACATATGCCAATTTCCTTAGAACAGGCTAATGTTCAGTAGGTATGCAGCAGTACAGTTGTAAAAGCTATTAAAACACTGAAATGTTTATGCACTGGTTGGAAAACCTACTGTTCCAGGTCCCTTGAGTGATCTTTTACTCATAGGACCCCTGTATAGGGGTATTGTACTTTCCCACAATCCAGCATCTATACGGGGAACATCTAGCAGATAAGCCAGTATGCAGAACCTGCTTTGCTTCTATACTGTGTGTTCTCACTGATCAACAATCAGTCCATGCCAAGTTGTAATATTTTGAACCTTATTCTTGCTATAGGTGGAGTTTTCTTCCAGAAGGCTAAATTCTTCAAGCAAATGGTCTTTCACTGAACCTAGGAATGTGTGACTCCCCAGACAAAGCAAATCTAGGTTCAAATTTAAACCCTGTTGCACTGAAATCCACAGGCCTTTACATTTAAGTGACTCATTGGTGATTTTTAAAACTATTAATACTTGATGGCAAAAAAGAGTACAATTAAGTTTTGCACTTCCAATACTGATAATGAGAATACATAGGCTTTGTGAGTTAAAACAATTAATATTATTTTGCCTAAGACAAAATCTTAACTAAAGATTTAAGGAAAGAAGATGTTTTAAAAAGATTGTTTAAGGTTATAGAAAAATTAGAATCAACCTACACATCAAACATTAAAAGAATAACTAAACCAAACTAATTTAGCTTATGTATTTTTATTTCTTTATATGATTCTGAATTATTAGCTATTTTTGGAAGGGAATAATAGAGTTGGAGGTAATTCTAAAACTCTTCAGAGGGCAGCTCCTAAAGGAGCAAGCCCACAAAGTTGTAGTTATAAAACTCAGGATTAGCTCACAGTTTTCATCCGAACTCTAAATTCCTTAAAAAATTAAGAATACAGGAAGGTCTTCACCTACATATTCTATATTCAGCCAGGTTGTATTTCCATGTGAATCTGTATGGGAGTATATGCAATGTTCTCTGGTGATTTGCTCTATTTTATACGCAGTCCTTTGAGGGTTTTGGTTTTTGATAAACTTGTCGTGATCCAGCACTAATCTCCTGACAAGTCTGAGCAGATGCTTATATTCGCAACATGGCATCCTGCAGTGAAGGTGCCATTTGTTTTTATGGCACCACACCAGGCTCAAATTTACAGTTTTGTGCAAATACTCTGTACTGCAGCCAAATGAACTGACCAATCAGAGAGAGCGTGGCAGGGTGCTAATGTGCGTGAGCTCATAGGTTCTGATCAACAACCAGGCCGTGCTGATTTCGGGGCACGCAGAGTTCGGAGAAGGGGAAAGTCTCCTCTTCTAATTCACTGATGAAAGTAAAAAGGATAATTGCTGCCTAACCAAAACAAAGTTCCTGTCCACACGCATAGGTTCCTGTCTAATGTGTGTGAAGACACTGGCTCAGCCTAGGGGAAGCTGATTCTCTTCTAAGTCATTGAGTCCTGGAGCTCAAAGTCCTAGCAAAAACATCTGTAGGAACACATCCTGTATTCATATCAGATCCACAAAACTGAAAGGAAGCATGAAATTGTAATAATAAAGACCCTTTCTCTGAAAACCTACATACTTTTCTGGTGCCCAACCCAGAGAGAACAGAAATGAGGATTTTGGAGTCGCTCAATTCCACAGGCTGCCATCATAATGCACATGAATGGGCACCCTCAGTGTTACGCAGTCTGCAGTCAAATGCAGCACATTCAACTGCCCTGACACTATACCCTTTAAAATTACCATTAGCCTTTGAGATGAATTGTGGATAGAGTAAAGGCTTTCATTTTTTATCAGAGTTTTAAAAAACTAAACTTATGTATAAGGAGGAATTGTACAAAATGTAAGTCACTGTATAATACATGTTATGGATAGTAACATTTTAATTACGACTTAAGTTTTCTAAGAAACTGATATTTAATGGGCCAGATAGACTAAAGGGAATGGAGACTTTCTGTGTTTTACAAATTCCAGACCTGTTGGTATTTTCTCTTCCTCAAAAAATTGCACTGTCAGCCGAAAAAAATTGAATGCTAGCACAACATGATAGCGTCAGGAGTCACGCTTCCAGTAATAGTAGCTGATACGGCCAATGTATTTCTGAAAAGAGAAAGTAAGTTTATGTTAACAACAACAGAAAGAGCAATTAAGAAATATTATTTGATACACTTCCAGGAAGGAAACATCTCATTAAGGAAAAAAAGTGCAATAGCCCTGTAGCCAAGACTTGTGAAACGTGTTCAAACTTCAGATTTATTTTATCTCTTCAACTTTTGCTCAGTTTTGGAAGAGGAATTTTCCCACTTGGGAATCACAGAAGTGGATTACACATCTCCCACCAGAATTGTGCAATGCCTTTAAATGGTTCTCCTAAAGTCTGTTTCCCATTAGTGTTACGGGTTTCACAATACATTTCCAAACGTACTTTTGGATATTTTTATCCAAAAAACTGTTCTCCAATCCTGGAAACCCTTCATTATTCAAAAGATTTTGGAGCATAAACATATGAAATTACTTCCTTTTCAAGTAATATTATTTTTAAAATAAATTGTAAAATCTATAGCAGGAATCTGACTACCCATATTAAAAATTTCTTTAAATTACTTTTTGGTATTAGTCTATTGATAGAAACATCAAATGTTAGTTTTTTGGAAAGATCAGAGATGTTATTAGTTGTAACTTCTGTATGTTGTATAAAAAGAAAAGAAAATCACTTGCCAGTGAACCCAAAGCTTGTTAGTGGAAGATCCAAGTCTTAGGGGTCTAGACTCCAAATCTAATGATCTCTCACCTTGTCCTATTGTTACCCTTCCTGACTTTAGTACTCCAAGCTCTCCTCCGCCAATACAGCTTGTTTTCTCTGGCCCTCCTTTGATTGAATGACTCCCTGCTCAGGCAGTGATACAGACAATGGCCACCTCAAATAATTGGAAGGCTTTCTTCAAGTACGAAGCATGTTGCCCAAGAGAGAATAAGACTAGTCCATATTACTTACAGTGCCAGATACAGAGTTCTCTGCCAGAGCAGAGGTAAGGGTGATGTGTTCTGGGTGGCCCAGAGGGATAGGCAAGACAATTTGTCTGGAGAAGTGAGGAAGCTTCAAAGGGAAAGTTGGATTTTTTAAGGATGTTTGTGGTTCACTAAGAGACAGGAAAACATATGCAAAAGCAGAAGCCAACTGGAGGCTAGAAGCCAAGTGGAGGCTAGGAAAGGGAAATAGGGAAGTAATATTTACCAAGGGCCAGAGCATCTATCCGGCACAACAAAGCTATGAAAAGTATCATTTCTATTTTATGACTGAGAAAATGAAGGGTTGGGGACATTATTCTAACATTTACTGAATGCCAAACTATATGCCAGGAATTATTGCTTTACTCAATTTATTTCAGTGAGTCTTAACCAAAAAAAAAAAATGTGTAAGGGAAATACTACTGCTATTGCACCAGAGAAAACAAAGTTACAGAGAAATTAAGTAAGCTACTCAAACTCCCAAGTCTGATAAATGCGGTAGGAGTAAGGAAGGACTATAGTACAACACTAGGTGCTGGTTGATTCTGAGGTATGTTCTAACTAGCGTGTGCAGTTCGTTGGTTCATTGCAACTGACAGAGATCCCTGATGTCACTGTACTCCAGACTAAAGAGTGAGGGCTTTATCTTATTGATATAGTGTTTAGGTACAGAGTGGTTCAACTGAATTGACATTTTTGAACAGTGTTCAGGCAGCAACATCTAAAATGGGTTAAAGGTAGAACCAAGAAAGATTGAGGAGCCAGTAAAGAGGGCTTTGTAAAAATGCAGAGGAGAAATGAGGAGGTCACACTGTAGGAATGCTGATGGAAAAAAGAAAGTCAGGACATTTTTAAGCAATTAGGTCCAAAAGACATGGTTTTCATTTAGATATTGAAGAAAAAAGAGGAAGAATAAGGGATCAAGACTGTTTCCAAAATCAGAGAATGAGTATTCATGAAATGAGATCTAAGGTTGAAGGCAGTGGCTCTTTTCTATATAATTGCATTTATTTTTGCTTCTACCCAAGTAATACCTATTCATTGTAATGAAATTAGAAATTGTAAACCAGGAAAAATAAACTTGAAAGCCTCAAAATTGTATCCTGAATATGTAGCATGTGTACATAACCTTACAGGTCATTTCCTGCATGTCTCATCTATGCATTTGTAAGTTAAAAAGGATCATACAGCCAAGCAGGGTGGTGCACACCTGTAATCCCAGGACTTGAGAGGTTGAGGTAGGAGGATCGCCATGCGTTTGAGGCCAGCCTAGGCTACATAGTGACTTCAACGCCAGCCTGGACTACATAGTGAGACCCTGTCTTAAAAAAAAGGATCATGCAATTCAGATGAGTTTTAACATTTTCACACTTAACTACATAATTTGAATGTCTCTGATGTCAAGAACTACATTTTTATGGGTAGTATCCCAGCATTCCATTGGATGGATGGGTCAAAAGAATTTGACAGACTGTCTCTAAATATTATCATTAGTGTTGTACAAGTAGTAATAACATTTATGCATATATTTTTGCTTACTTGCTCACTTTTACTTGGGACAGATTCTTAGAGGCAAAATGCTGCATTAAAGAGAAAGCTCTAGTTGAGGCTTTTGGTGTCTACCTTTAAATCATCCTGCAGAAAAGCTTCACACACTCTCAAAGGTGTTGGAGAGAACCTATTTTTCCAGAGTAAATTTTACTCATTTATTATGAGTAAGGTTAAATAAGTTATCCTATTATTCCTGATCATTTACATTTCTTCTTTAGGAAATTTCTACTTCTTATTCTTTATCAATATTCCTATTAGAGTACTCATACCATTCTCATGTACTAGAAAAAGTTATTTACATATTTTATGTTTCTCCTTAAGAAAGTAATTGATTCATCAAAATGTTTTCAAACATTTTATATGTCTTTGTACATCCAATTATATTTTAAACAATATGTCTGATGTGTTTTAGGTTTACATCTTACCAATCTAGTTAATTTCACTCTGTAATATTTACAGTGACTGACATGATTGGTTTTACTTCTGTTACCCTTCTTTATGCAGCTTTGTTTTTTATTCTTTCTTACTATTTCTTTTTTCTATGTTTTTTATTATTTAGATTTTCTTTGTGGTTTTTCTTCTCCATTGATGTGGAGGTTACATCTTTTGCTCTATTTTTAATTATGTGCACTTTATGTAGAAATTTGAATTTAAAATTTTCTTTCCACTTTATTACATTAGTATATATGAAAAGAAATGAGAAATTTATCTTCTTTCTATTTCCTAGTTTCTCTCATATTTTAAACATTTCTTCATTAAACTGTACAAAGATTATTTTCTTCCTTTGAGCATGCATTTTCTGTAAAAAAAAGGACTTTATTTTATATATGTTTTAATCTTCACAATTATTTTAAAAAGGACTTTATTTTATATATGTTTTAATCTTCACAATTATTTTAACAATATACTTAAAATTTACTGTATGTTCCACAAGTTTCTCAATATCTAGGATTTTATTAACATTTTTCTCATTCTTGTGTTCTTTATTTTGATTTCTTTCTCATGAAATGAAGTATGTCTTTTTTTACTAAAGCTGTGCACATTCTCCAATGTATTATTTCTTTCCTCACATGTACCAATGTCTTGCCCAATATTTTGAATATTTTGGGTTAATAATACTTTTATTGTATTGCTATGCATCTATTCCTCCTTTTTTTCTGATGTTTGTTTTTCACACAGGAGAAATGGAGTATTGCTTTGATTTCTCCAGTTAAAGTATCTTGTTTGTCTTTCTTATAGTTTGTAATATTTTTCCTTTATCCCAGATGTACCTTTTTAATTAATTTTGCCTGGAATTTGGTGAATATTTTTATACTAAAATTTAAGAAATAGTCTTGTATTTATATTAGAACTATTACTCTTGCTAGGTCTACTTAGTTCTATTGTTCTGGAAGTGGCTTTATTTTATTGTCCAATGACATTTTTAATTTTGCAGTAATAATTAAAATTTTCTTTTCAATTTTTGTATTTATCTCAGTCACTTTCTTCTACAAATGCTGGCTTCTATTTAAAGGAGACTATGTTGTTCTGCACCTTCTTGAGAATTCTAATGAAACATTTACTGAAATATATATAGGAAGAAATTTTCAACAGTATGAATAATTCAGTAATAATTTGATATTCAGTAATATAGTGCTTCAAAGGCATATTCTCATTCCTTATGCTGAATTATTTTTCATAAATCATTGTTTTGGTTACTTTTCTTGTTGCTGAGACAAAATACCTGACATTTAAAGTCAAAGGAGAAAAAGTTTATTTATCTCACAGTTTGTAGAGGTCTCAGTCCATAATTGGGTGGCTTCAAGGCAGGGTGTATAGCAGACAGGAATTGAAGAGAAGAAGCAGTTCATGGTGGGCAGAAGGCAGGAAAGCAAACAAGGGGCAACTACAGCTTTCTGTCCTTTCTATCTTATCCAGGCTACTTAGGACAGATAGCACACCCTTAATCCTAGTACCCTTGATCCTAGCATTGCACTATGAATCAATCCCAGCATCACACACACTAGATCTAGCTACCTCTGAGAAAGCCCCACCTATGACTGCATGAGGCTTTTGGAGGACAGCTAGACACAAACTATAATAATCACATATCATTATTACTATTTTTAAAATATGCTTCTCATTTTAAGCTTCAAATTAATCCAGATCTCTAATTTTCTACTATATGTCATAGAAATATGATACCTTTTTGTTTTTGAACATAATCAAGAATTTTAGAAGCATGGTTATTTTTTCTAATAATTATATCATAAGTCTTATCTCTTAATATGATTTTTTATACTGCTATGCTGGTTTAGCTTCAGCATTCAAGAGACTTGGAATAGAGACACACTCATGTCGTGGGAAAGATCATGGCCTCTAGATCCGAGCTGTCTGGGTTCAAATCCCACCTGACACCTACTTCAGCAAGTTATTTAGAACTTTAGCTTTTTCATCTATAAAGTGAGATTAGTACTCTTACTTACTTTATAAGATTAATACTATTAGCCACTTCATAGAAATTTAAGGAGTTTAAAAACATAATGTTTATAAAATACATAGAACAGTTGTTGGAACTTAATGAATGCTATATAAATATATTTTTCTGTTTAAAAAATACTAACTCTGTCACCTTCTAACTGAATTATTTTAATTAAGTGATGTCTCTCTAAACATCCTTTTTCTCATCTCATGACAGATATAATACTAATAATACTAGTGCATATATCTATAATATTAATAACTTTTAATACACTTATTAACATGTAAGGATTAAATGAGACAATTTATATAAATTATTACCACGCAGGTAGACATTCCTTGGTTGCTATGGTTTTTAAACAGACAAATGCATCCTGGGACTATGCTACATTTAATTGGCAAAACTGAATATGGCAAGCTCCTTTTGTCCTTTCATTTATTATTAGAATTCTTATTTTTTGAGTTATTTTATAGATGTGTAGCCTCAGAGGGATGAAGTTACAAATTCAAAGACACAGTGTCAATGTGGAGGGAAGAGTTAAAGCAAGGTCAATTAGATTCTGCTTTTAATCTTTCTTCCCAGAAGACTGGAAAATGCAGGGCCTTTATCTCTGTTTTCTTCAAAAGGCGTAGGTCCCATCTGTGGGATTAGTTCCCATGAGCCTGTCCTTTCTCCTCATCCTCTGTCAAGTGCTTTGAACAGAAATAAAAGGTCAAAGTGCTTTTTGCATATCAACCATGATTCCTCTCTCCTCTGCTGGGCAGTATGCGGGCCTGTGTGCTTGCGTGCGTGAGTGCCTGCCTGCCTGCCTCCCTGCTTGCCTGTGTGTCTGGATGGTGGAGGTAGAGCTACAGGTTAGGAGCAATGAAATATGATGAATACCATTTATAACAAGATTTGTTTAATCTGTTGAAGATCACTGATTCCTTCTGGTCTCTTAACTTATGTTGCTATTTGGAATTTTCTCACAAATCATCCCAGACATGTCATATTGTGCTGTGTTGTGTTGTGTTGCATTGTGATGCAAATTAACTGTGGGACAGGTACAGGAGACCTTCATAACCCACATGTAAGAAACTACATCACTGTTTTTTAAAAAAGTTATTGTCTATTCTTGCATTCCTTATGCTGTTATTTCTGTGAAAAGCTATTGTTTGGTTTTTCTCCCTCTGGTTAGTTTCAAATATTTTGTTAACTCTTGATTGATGTACCATATAGCATGGTCTCCCTGGCTATCTGCCCACAGCTTGCCCATCAGGGACATACAAGCCTGAAGGTTCTCCAGGAGGTATCAGCACATGCATCCCCTGTCCTGATGAAAACCACACCTCCCCACCCGGAAGCACGTCCCCCGAAGACTGCGTCTGCAGGGAGGGATACCAGGCATCTGGCCAGACATGTGAAGGTAAGGCTCCCACCACTGCAGATAGGAAATAGAAAAGCTGATCTCTGTGACAGAAATAGTGATATTTGCATTCAATTCATTTAGAATGATCTTTAATATTTCTTTCCCTAGTCATGTAGGGGGGTGTTATTTGCTTTTATTACCTAACATTTATTATCATTGATCACATACATATCTTTGCAAAGCAAAAATTGATCTGAAACCCTAGGAGTAATCTAATTGTGAGAATAGGGTTAGTACTAAAATGAATGGAAAGAGAGATATTATAATTCTATTAATAAATTTGAATAGCCAAGGAGCTTATGTTGGTAGCAATGACAGTCAAATTCATTTTTAAAAGGTTTAAATAGTGTCCCAATATTATTCATGTCAAAAATTGAATATATTTAAATATCATATAATGTGTAAAAGAAGCTGTGGCTCTTGAGCATTGTAACAAATACCCCTTGCTACTTTTATCTGTTCTTTCTTTCATACCATCCTAATTAGGAAGGAAAATACCTAATGAATAATGATGGTCAAGAAATAGGGGTTGGAGCATAGCTTAGTATTTAGCATATGTGAAGTCCTGGGTTCAATCCCCTGCAGCACTTCCCCAATAAAACTAGAAAATTTCATATCTATGTAGATAGCAAAAAAAATTTAAAGTTTAAAAATATTTAATCTGTATTTAAACTTTAATCTGAAAAAAAAAAAAAAAAAAAACCTAACAGGAGTCAAATGTAAGGGTTGTTCTTCCTACCTTGCTCTTAGAAATTCAAATGCTGTTAAATAGGAAAGCTGTGGGGAATTGAGAAATCTGTAAAGCATAACCTCTTCAGCAAGGCAAAGAAAGAAAACATTCCACAGACAAAGCCTGACCTTGCTTTTTAATTTTATTTCTATAAATGTTAGTTGTCCACTGCCCTGCTCTGAAGCCTCCTGAAAATGGTTACTTTATCCAAAATACTTGCAACAACCACTTCAATGCAGCCTGTGGGGTCCGATGTCACCCTGGATTTGACCTCGTGGGAAGCAGCATCCTCCTGTGTCTACCCAGTGGTTTGTGGTCCAGTTCAGAGAGCTCTTGCAGAGGTATGCAAACTGCCTGTTCGTGTTGGTTCCTGATTGTGTTGCTTGATTTAAATTCTAATCGACTGGTCAGTTTCTTGTTTCTTTTTTTATTTCACAAACCACAGACCACAGAAGTTATAGGAAATTTGAAGGCATACCATCATAAACTGTACCTTTTACATTCTTGTGATGAAGAAGCCAAAGAAAGGCCTGCTGGAAACTAAATGGACAGGTTATTCAAACCTCAAATTTCAAGAGCCAAGACACAGTGCCAAAGACATGGTGCCAACCTTGGGGATAGTCAGGGTGGAGGCTAGATGCCAACCACGAGTGCAGGACTTTGAAAACACACCAGTACCCTGCAAGAGAAGCAGGTAGCCAGCTGGCTTATCTCCAGCCTTGACTTGGGGTGCTATAGAAAGTGCAGAATGTGCTATGGTGAAATCCCCAGGAGCCTAGAGAGACCAGAAGAAAATGGACAGTACCAGAGGCAGGGCTAGAAGTTCCAAAATTAAATACTGCACAGAGAAACATTAAAAAGAGCAGCCATATCCAGCATCTACATTCTTTCTTCTTACAACTGTCACACAGCCAGTGTCCTATGGTTTTACAAGTAGCACAAGAAAGGAAGGTTTTCAAAGAAATGGTAAGAGTGGAGCAAGCCAAAGACTTGAGGACTGTCACCAAAGTCCCTGCCTGTGAAGCTTCTTCATACAGTATATCTTAGTTACTTTTTTCGTTGCTGAGACAAAATTCCAAGCACCCAAAGTTAAAGAAGAGAAGGTTTATTTAGTTCACAGTTTGTACAAGTTTCAGTCCATAGTTGGCTGGCTCCAAGGCACAATGGCACATGGCAGAGGAGAACAGTTCATGGTGGGCAAAGCAAAAGCATTAAAGGACCTTAACAGCATCTTTCCGCCCCTTTTATACTCTATCTAGGCTACTGAGATTAGAGCAGTGACAAACCAGTCAGTGGACTGATTTAGTAATCACGCCTCCTTAATCTCAGCATGGCACCATGAATTAATCACACGTTAGATCCAAGCACCAGTGGAAAAGCCACGCCTATGACCACATGAAAGTTTAAGGGGACATCTAGACACAAGCAATAAGGACATACAAATTAAGGACCTATTTATATTTTTTAAATTATTGATTTTCTGAGGGTCATATTTAGCTGGGGATCTGGGTTAGTTGAGTGTCCATTGCTAAATTTGTCCTCCTTACCCCCAACACATCCCTGAGCATTCTTTAGCACCACTCTTTGAGGAAGATTTGGCCTCTTCAAAACCATAAATCACCCAGCTCACAGGATAAGGAGTTCTGTTCTGCTGGTCCTCTCTTGGATCCCATACTCATAGAGGAAGCCCCCTTTCTCATCAGTCTAAGATCATTTGTAAAGCCAGGGTTTATCCGTTGTTTCTATTTATCAGCTATTGATAATTGGTCCACCTATAAATATTGTACTTGCATTAATCAGGTGTCAATCCATAGTTTTCCTATAAAAAGTCAAGGAGAATTCAGAAGAACCAGTAGATTGAACAAAGACACACAGAAAAGGGTCGGGTGGAATTCCTGAGATTCAAAGGCACTTACATTGTTTTGCTAAAATAAGACTAGGAGGGCTGGGGATTTAGCTCAGGGGCAAAGCGCCTGCCTGGCAAGCGTAAGGTCGTGAGTTCGGTTCCCGGTACCGGAGAAAAACAAAAAAAATAAAATAAAATAAAATAAGACTAGGAGAGAGACAGAGAGAGAAAGAGACAGACAGAGGTGGAGGGGGGGACTACAGGCACAATAAACAGACATCACTGAAAGCCAAATGAATAAATTTAGAAAAAGCAACCCTAGAAATTCATCTGAAAGTAGAGCAAAATTTCAAACATAGAATTATGAAAGAATAAAATGACAGAATAATCACAGACAGTACTCTTCTCATATTAAAAATCCAGAGACAGAACAGAGGAGTCATAGAAGATCAAAGACTATATACCCCAGCTGAAGTCCTGAAAATAAATATGCACAACCCAAATCTTTTGTATTCAGTCTAAAATCACTGAGTGAGTGCCAGAAAAAAAAAAATATTAAAAACAGACAAATGTCTGGTAATAATCTTAGTGAAATTTCTGAGTGCCCTGGAAAAATAGAAAATTATGTCAACTGGATAGTTGAAAAATAATATCACTCATAAAGGAAAGGGAATCAGACTGACCTTTGGGGGTTTGTTGGCCATTTTAAATGTTAGAAGATAATGTATTTCTGGGATTCTGAGGGAAAAGAATTAGATCCTAGACATCCAGTCTCACACAAGCTACTGTTCATGGGGGAAGGCAAACGAAAGACAGTCACTAAAGCCATAGATGTAGCCGTGCTGTTCAGGAAGCTGCTCCTTCCCAAGCTCTGCCCCAGTGCCCTGACTTTGATCTTGGTCCTCCTAAATGTTTCCCTGTCACCAAACTCCTCAGCCTGAAGGGCAGCATGACTTCTGTGTGTACATACTTATCCCAGCCTTTCCCTGAGTGTGTGTGTGTATTTATTTATATATGGATGGCCTGCTCATGTCACCCCCTCCATTAAAAAGTGTGGTTATTCTCTTCTATGTAATTTTTATTGTTATTCTAATGTACATAAAATAATTTTCATCAGAGTGAGAAAAATGCTCTGGGATCATGGATCTTGCTAAAACCCTGCAACATCAGGACCAAAGCACTACAAATACATAGAGGGGTCCTCAATGAAGAGACCCGGGTCCTTCCTCATTCATGGTTGATGGATTTAGATCCTTGAGTTGATGAGTTTAGTTACTTTAGACACTGAGATAGTCTATTAAACCATACCATATTTCATCAAATCTATCCCTCCCGCATTTTAGTAATCCTTGAAATTGAAATTTGTTTTAAAATCATTGGCAAGAAATCATTTTATTGACATTACTATACCGATAGCAGTGTATGTTGCAATTGGAGTATGTGGGATTCAGAGAAATATGGTAAAAGGCTAAGTTTCACCTCTATTTCCAGGATTCTGGTATGGAGAAAGTAATGTTTTTTATAGATCTAATTTAAATCAATTACAATAATAAAGAATAATTTTACATATGTCATATTTTCGGTGTGAAAGTCTTCCTAAGGTTGATTCATAAAGGAAACACACTGAAAATGTACAGTATTTTGCACAGCTCATGTTACATTATTATTTCCATACTGTTGAGTAGTAATTGGTAAGCTTGATTCTTATTCCTCCCAGGCACTCTTCATAAAGCACTTGTCGTCATTTCTAATTTCATCTCAGTTATGCATTTCTTTCTAAGCCAGTAGGGATTCTTTTGTGGTTTCTTAATGATAATTAGCTAAAGCACAGCATCATAGAAAATTAAAATTTGTTATTCTTTATTTTCCTGAGAAAAGATTCAGGTCTAAATTTACTATAAGATTTTCTTTATTTTCAGTACTAGGCATTATCAAAGTTTGGAAGTTGACAGCAAGCATGTGTCTAAGAAAAAGTCTGACATATTTAAGATGAGAACCACAGCAGGTTCAGTTTCTTTTATTGTCTATCACATAGTAGGTTGTTTTCTTAAACGACTATGTTACTGTTTGTTTCAAATATTACTTTCCAGACTTTTTAATTGACACATAACAATTATAAGTATCAATGAGGTAAATTGTGATAATTAAATACATATATGCAGTGTGTAGTAACCAAATCAGGATAGGCTGTTACTTTATAAAAAATACTAAATATATATTTAAGGATTGCTTTAACATAATCTAAATGAAGGAATATGTATTGTAGGATCTTTCAGCTTGTTAAAATAAGAAAGTTTGAAATTGAATCTAGTAAATCAATGCAGTCCTACTACAATAGTAATAAGTAGTCATTCTTGAGTGAAAGAGTATAAAATGTTTAATAAAATAAATAGAAGTCATTTTATATGCTTTGTTTTCCCTAAGGAGCAATGAGGGTTTATTAAAACCAACATTTGAGAACCAGTATAATTTGCATCTGTCTAAGATGCCAGCTCTAATTTATTATCAGTTCTCCTGAGATGGTGCAAATCCATTTTTTGTCCAGTTTGAAAAGCTGCAGTGATTTTTTAAAAATTGTTAAAGCTAAAAGCAGTTGTTTAATATTTTTCTCCAAATTTTATACATTCTTGAACATAAGAATTTATCTTCTTCAACTTGTAAGCCAGCCTGGCATATGACATTGTATCCCACATGATGGACACATTTACTAAAAGTAAAAATTAGGAAGGCAAAATATTTCAATTCATTTTTTATTAATAGTTGGCTTCATGCCAAATTATCCTCTGGATAGAGGAGATTAGGACTTACAGTTTAACCTCTAATGTAATTCTTGAATTTTCTCTAGGGAGTAATCAGTCTTAAATTCATATTTAATGTTTTCAGCATTTATGTTCTGTCAAGTAACATAATAAAGGGGTTCCTGGAGAATCAATTTTGTCCATGATTTAAACTGTATATATGCTTGACTATTTTGTGCCAGCTTCCTTTTTATCGTGAAGTTAAGTATTCATCATAAATAAATATATATATATGCCTGGTATTTAAAAATAACAAATGCACAAAAATAGAAGAAATAATACTATATCTCACCCAGGGTCCCAATAACATTCTTGAATTCCAAATGCATTGTTTTTAGAGATTGCTATATTGTCTTCAGGCCTTTCCTGTTGTTCTACAGGTGCTCTCTAAGAGCAAACTAAACTTTTTTTCTTTTGTATGGGTTGTATTTTTGTTCTTTCTACAATGTCTGGTGCCTGCAGAGTATCTATATGCTTTCGAAATGAATGTATGTTCCCATCTGTTGGCATAGTCAGCAAGCACCCACTCTGTTTTCTTCTGTCTCTCTACCCATAAAAGTAGTATACATGCCATCTGATGACAACAGTACATTTACCGTGGTCTGGACGGCATCCCTATTTCCTATTCCTTCTTCTTTTTCATTTTCCCTGCCTCTACACTTCCCTCCTCCCTGCAAAAGACAAACTTACAAGCAACGTAATTATAGACATAATTAGCACTTGTTTCTGATTCATTTTTCACGGAAACCTCCATTCTACAAAACAGAATGAGCTCCCCCTAGGCAGTGTCAGAACAGCGGGATTTTATAAGGAAGAAATAAGGAAACAGAACAATGGGGAGAAGAAAAAACAGATCGGTTAACATCAGTTACCTCAAATTACATTTTTTGTAGTGATTAAAGCAGAGTTGAATTCCTTGTTCACTGATTCAAGTAGACTGGGATTCTGTTCCCTGGAAAAACTTATCGTGTAGGATCCTTAAAACTGTTTCATTAGGTGACATTGAGCATGAGTGACCCTAATTGTGTTTGTTGTGGTTTCTTGGGGAGTAGGGCAGGATCTTAGTCCCAAAGAATGGCCTCCCGTAGTTTTGCCTAGCATCGCTCCTCCTTGATACCCCCTTTCTTCCTGCATCACCCCACGCACTTTCCCTCTTCCCTCCCCTTGCTCTTCCACGCTCCATTCTTCTCCAGTGAAGTCCCCACTCGGACCTCCAGACTCTGTCTATAAGAGACAGTAAGATTTTGATTAAGATAAAGTGAAGACATTCAAGAAAGAAGTTTAGGACACAGGGAAATGTACTGAAGACTTATCCTGTACTCTAGGAAGCAAATGCAGAGTCTAGGGTTAGATTTGGATCACAGCTGCATGGGAGAAACCTGATCGATGAAGGATGAGCTGGGAGGCCAGGGCTTCCTAACAAAATTTTATGAACAGTGGTACAGGACACGATGAAATTCATTGATTCAGATGCACTGGGGAGTTTGCTGGACTGCACAGGAGTAGCCCAAGTTCTCCCTTGAATTTTCTCTGATGTACATTTGAGGCAAGAGAATCAGAGGTGGCAGAATTAGAAAACAGAGGTTTCTCTCAACACCCACCCTGTGGAACTTCCCCCTTGATGGAAGTGGTAGAGCGGGTTTAAGAGTGGAGACATTTCCAGGATTCCAAGATTAGTGAATATCTTTCTAGCTGCACTTTCATGGTAGATTCATAAAGGGTCAGGAAAGGAACCAAACACTAGTTGTATCTGCTCACTACTCAGATCTGGGGAATGGGATTCTAGGTCATGTACTCTACCCCAGTGGAGTGCAGAACAAGTCCCTGAAAGAGAGGAAAGATTTTGTTTTTCAGAAAATTAATGAATGAAAAGTGAATGGAAGCTACATTAGGATTTGTGCATAGCCACTAGTGTCAAAGACCCAAATAACAATGCTGTAACCTAATTAAAAGGTTTGCATTTTCTCACCTAACAGGACAATGGTATAGGACATGATGGAGTTAATGGGAACCAGCTTTAATCTAAAGCTGGAGTGATAATTCCATTATCATCAGAGCCTGAGATTTCTTTTATTCATCTATTCTATTGCCTTAATGCATGATACTTTTCCTATAATTTTCTATAAATATACTATACTATGCTAAGGTACTGACTCTCAAGTCTATATTTTGGGGGTAAGAAAAAGGGAAAGGTGAAGAAGTATTCTCTCAATTTGGGTTTTTGTTTGTTTGTTTGTTTGTTTTGTTTTGTTTTTCTCCAGTACCAGGAATCGAACTCACTACCTTGGGCTTGCCAGGCAGGCACTGTGCCACTGAGCTAAATCCCCAGCCCCGTGTTCTCTCAATTGAGATGACCTCCTTTATAAAACTTTCCAAGACGTCCACACAACTGCCGCTCTTATCTAATTTACTCTCAGTAATTGTGATGGAAGGGGAGAATTTAATTTTATAGCTGGCACATTACTATGCTAATTTTTTTTAAGCCTGAGAAAATAGCTTTAGGAGAAAAACTCACAGTCTCTGCTGCAGCAGGAAATAGGCAAACAAACCAGTGTCAGTACACAAATCAAGATTAGCATCATAGGCTAGCATCATCTGTAGGAGGTATGTGGGAAGAAAGAGGAGAAAAAGCTAAAAGGACCGAAGTTGTGGGCAGCCACTGGAATATTGCAATTTCAGATTGCAGAACTTGCACAGATTTACAGAGGCTGGGATCATTACAAAGCTTGGGGCATGGCTCTGAGTTATAAGAATTGAGTTGACCCTGAACCTGAAACCATAATCCTGGAAAATACTTCTTCATTTTGTTGGAATGTATCCTGATGGATACACTGTCAGCCACCCCCACTACAGCCACCATCGTCCATTTAGGCACAGACCTCTTGGACAGTGTAAGTTTTTCATCTAAGGATAGAGAACTGGACATAGTGACACTGTTCTAGCAATGCATTTTGATAAAACAAAGGCTTTTATTTACCCCACAATACTACAAAATTATGGTGAGTTACTATTTTCCATTTTTAAGAACAGGAACTTCTTGCTTGTGATGTGATATTGTTAAGCTGAAAATTACTATTTTTATCCTTATTTAGCAAGCTATGATCTGACTGTCATTTTATGTAGTGAGAACATGCCCCCATCTCCGCCAGCCCAAACATGGCCGCATAAGCTGTTCCACAAGGGACATGTCCTATAGGACAACTTGCTTGGTTACCTGTGACGAAGGGTACGGACTAGAAGGAAGTGCGAAACTTACCTGCCAAGGAAACGCCCAGTGGGATGGAGGAGAACCCCAGTGTGTGGGTAAGAGCCTAGAAGATGTGGGGTCTTGGGTGATTCATTTCTCCTGTTCTCTGAAGACCTACACTGGTTCATAATGAATGTGACTAAACGTCCACATAGACAGATGTGTGACACTGTAGACACACTGACAAATAGTGTTGCTTTATTCCTCTGCACTGGTAAAGAGACTTCTAGTCTGAATTAGTTTTCTAACTCAGTGAAATTTACAGGTTCAAGTAACAATGCTTTTCTTCCCTGACACTGAAGCCAACTTAGATGCATTTTCATTTTTAAAGAAATGCTTCATGATCCTTTTACTTTGTCAAACATGATTTACCTTTGCCTTATTGAAAATGCAAAATCACGAACTGGTGAACTTTTAAAATCCTTTCATCTTTAAACAGGCACAAATAAAAGTAACTGAGTATTTAATTTAAAAGTTAGGAAAAGAGTAATTCCAGGGAAAATTGAAAGACTTAGCAATCATTGTTTAAATAAAGAAAAATGAACTATAAAAGGAGATAGGATGTAGTAGAATGTTAAAGAAAGAACTATTCAGTGAATTAGAGTTTAATATATTAGCAAAGAAAATATAAAAACAGAATTTTTCTGAGATGCTACAACAAAGTATATAGATGTCTGAAGGTTTTAAAAATAAAATATTGTGTAGTTTGTAATTTATATATAAATTGACAACTCTTAATATCTATGATTTCTAATAAAATACAAATTCATAAATAATTCAAAGAAAGCAAAAATTCAAATATACATTTACACATAAAAATGGAAAATGCGGGGAACAGGGTGTCCCTCCTGCGGCCACCACCGGGAGGGAGCTGGTGAGCGGTCTGCGTGGCCCTGTTGCACTGGGCCTGGAGGCTGGGGACCCGGAAGCTAGCAGGCCGGAGGTGAGAGTGGCCCGGGGACCGTGAATGGGGCAGCCAGTGGCCTGGTCACCCCCATAAAGTGGTCTGATGAGGAAAAAAAGGAAAATTCTGCTGTAGTATTAATTATTCCTCCAAAAATGAATGAAGGATAAATAACTGAAAATTCAAAAACGAAATTTGCAAGCCATATACCTGGCCCAAATAATAGAAAGCTCTCCAATTCATATTAACAAACTATTGGTATTTTGATGTTGACATATTACTGAGAAAAAAATACACACAAACATATATGTAACTATAATAGCAAATATACTGTACTAACAATCTGTGTTCAAAAAGTGGCTTATGAAAACCAAGGAGAGTTCATGTTGGACATGCAAAAAATGATTTGAAATTAAGTAATTATCAGTATAATAAATTACTTCATTGTAACAAATGGGAAACATTTAGTCACTTGGTAGAAGACAAAACTGCATTCATTATCATTTAAAACACATTTCTATAAAATTTTAAGAAACTCATATATATTGATATCTCAGATGCAGTAAAAAAATGTCCATTTTAACCTGAAGTTGTTTATGGAGAAACAAGATACAGTTTTATTAAATCCAGAAAAAGAAAAGATGCTCAGAATCATCCATTTTTTTTAGTATTGTTCTAAGTAGCCTTGATAATAAGCCATGAGATCAGAGATGCTGAGATCCAAACTCATCATTATTTGTAGATTATATATCTACTAGAAAAACATGAATCTACCAAAAATCTGAGTTTATTAAACTCACAAGAATAGCTGATAAGCAGCTTTTTTTTTTTTGGTACCAGAAATTGAACTCAGGACCTCCTACTTGCCAGGCAGGTGCTGTGCCACTGAGCTATATCCCTGGCCCAATTAGCTTTTTTATACAATGATAAATAAGATTAATGGTGAAAAGTCACATTCAAAAGATCTTTTTAAAAAATATCAGAATAACATTAAACAGAAATATGTGAAGTTGTGTTAAATGAGAAAATGTTACTGAAAGGCAAAAAAAAAAAGAATGCTGTAACATGCATATACAATTTTGCTAAAATGTTAAGTACTCTTCAAATATATGTACAGGTAAAACTTAACCTTACTTAATAGCCTAAAATGAAATTTGCTTTTTACTATCATTTTGGAATTTGGAAATGATTCCAGGGTTTGTTTTTTAAAATATCACTAAAGGCCCGGTATGGTGGCAAATGCCTGTGATCCCAACACGGCAGGCTGATGCAGGAGGATCGATGCAAGTTCAAGGCCAGCCTGGGCAACAAAGTGAATTCAATTTGGCCTGAAATGCATAGTGAAACTCTGTTTCCAAAATACAAAAAATCACTGAAATAAGTTTGAAAATAATAATAGTAGAGAGAAAATAATTTCAACAGATTTAAAAATATATTCTAATGCTGTAATAACTAAAGCCATGCAAAGATTACTGTACAGATCAAGGTCACTTGGACAGATCCTGAAACTTACAAATTTCATGTATTATTGAGGAAGTATCACAGATCAGTTGAGGAGGAAAGATTTGGTCAACTAATTATATAGAAAATTTGGCTAATTCTTTGAAGAAACGTCACAAAATAAAATTTTTCTTATGTCTTTAATTCATGCCACACACTGAAATAAATTATAAATACTTTAAAACATAAAGCAAAAAATAGTCATTAAAATTTAAAACATAATATATGTAAATGAAAACTAACCAATATCCAAACTCATTAAACAAAAAAGCAATGAGAATATTTAAGAAGAAAAAAATTAGTAGAGTAGATTGTAGAAAAAAATTCAGACATGTTCACCCAAAGCACCATGAATAAGAGATAAAAGAAAATAAAATCTTCAACAATTCTGAGAGCCAAAAGGATAATTTTCTTACTTTGTAAAGGACTAATCCTGAAGGAGAGATATTGAGTCCATTCATCGTTGTGTATGAGTCACAGATATGGCTCTGATATTCCGCTTGATCAAACCAGGACAGGAAGTCTGAGCAGGCACACGGCTCACACTGCCAAAATAGAGGCAAACCCATTTCTCAGCAAAAATGGCTGTTGCTGGCGCAAAATGTTGAAAGAAATCAACTCAGAGAGAGAGACCACGTGGAGTATTTAGGAACACAGGTTTCTGCCCCTTACCTGCCGGGTGACTTCAGGAAAGTTATATGATGCTCAATACAATGCTCAATACTCATGTTTGTTAATGAAAGTAACAGTAATCTTTATAGAATTAAGTAAGTAAATGAATTAAATACACATGAAGCTCTTAGAATTATATGCTGCGCATAGTAGGTATCAAATACGTGCTTGCTATTGTTGCACAGAAAATACAACTGAAGGTGTGAGCCACGCTGCCAGTAGAATCTCTACTACAGAAAAGAACTGCGCATGCGTTACTTTATCTCACATTAAGTCCTAGCCTTGATTTTCCATTCTGTCTGCATTTCATCTACCTCATCTGCCATTCTTTGTCTGTGCCAGGGATGGTGAACCGGTAGCACATGTGCTGCGGTGGGTTGTTGGCATCACCGAAAGCTTTAAAAGGTTCACTCTCACTGGTCTGTGCTGAAGATACCAGTAAGGATCAAACAATGATTTTAGAGAGGGTATAAAAATTTTTCTCATTATGTTCTCTCTTCAAGATAGCACCCAAAAGCTCATAAAACAGAAATGTATTGCAGAATATATCACTCAAGTTATGAAAACTAAGATCCAATTTATTATCTTATATTCCAAAGCCATAAATAGTATTCTGCAAACTAAAAAAAAGTGGAAAATAGCACTGATGAAAATATCAGAAGTTTTCCAAGATTTTGATTCACTGACAAAAATAATAAGAGGTAACTAAAGAGGTATAGTTCAGCATTATTTAACAACACATCATGATATGCCTGTAATCTCAGCACTTGGAAGGCTGAGGCAGGAGGATCACGTGGGTTTGAGGCCAGTCTGGGCTACAAAGTGAGTTCAAAGCCAGCTTGCACTGCACAGTGAGACTCTGTCTCAAAAAAAGCAAAGCAAAACAAAACAAAACAAAAACCCAGAAAAGAAAATAATCATATATTCAATGTCATATAGAGCTATTTGTGACAATCCTAAGTCAGAAAAGCTATAATTTTCTTGAATAAAGAGAATCTATGGCATTTCTAATACTTGGGAATACAAATAACATTCTTTTATTTCCCAATTTTAGAACGTCATTGCCCCATCTTCCAGAAACCCAAAGGTGTCATCGTATCCCCGCCCACCTGTGGCAAGCAGCCAGCCAGACCAGGGATGGTGTGTCAGCTAAGCTGCCGTAGAGGATTCATTTTATCTGGCGTGCGAGAAGTGAGATGTACCACTTCTGGAAAATGGAGTGCTAGAGTTCAGACAGCTGTGTGTAAAGGTGGGTCTCAAGCTCAGATGGTTAAAAACCAAATTGCTAAATAACGGTATATGAGTGAGGTTAGAACTATCCTTCTGTGCAAATTTTGTTGTAAGCGTATGATAAAATAGGAAGTATTGCTCCAATCTGAGTTATGAGGGTTGTTTAAATTCTAATTAAAAAAATCAGGCAGTGGCATAGGAAGTAAAAAATAAGGGGAATGTTAGCACTGAAAATCAGGTAAGTTTTCCATCAGAAAGTGAAAATTGGTGAGGAATTTCTGGTCTATATAAAGCAAGTGGGACTAACTGATTTTTAATAATAAAATAAGAGTTATCAGCACTTTGAAAGTTGCATTTGTCGCATTTACAAGAGGATGTTTTCGTTTTCCCTGTAGTAAGAGCAGAATATTCTAATAAAAAGGAATTAAAAACAGGAAAGCATCCTCAGAAGTATAGATATCATATCTTTAAGAGAAGAAGGCAAAAAATAGAAATAAAAGTGAAATGAGTGTTTTGGAAGTATATTAGTGATCTGAAGAAACACTTACATCCTTACCCCAAAAAATAATCCCTGAGTATTGGGCTAGCAAAGTTTCTGCCTTCCAAGTGAAGTTTCTCAAGTACAAAGTTAATGAGAAAATATTATGTAAATTTACAAAGAGAAGGAGAAATTGTGCTCAAAACACAAGAAGCAAATATACTTATTTATAATTCTACTTGCCAGAAGAAAATGCAATAATGTCTATACAACATGAAAATAAAATTAATCTAATCTTTTCAATTCAAACCCAATCAAGCTGTGATTTAAGTATTAAAAATTAAGTATATTCTTTTAGCTTTTTTAGTTAATATGCTACTATGCATCTTGGCAAGGAAGAATTCTCCAGATATGAGTGCCTCTCAGAGAAAAACATAAATTGAATAAAATTTTACAGACAAAAGTTATGAGACACAATGAAATCAATTTACATATATCCACCTACAAGTTACACAATATCACATGTAACATAACTGAAAGGGTATATTAGATTATATAAGAACTTTATTGTAGCTCGTGGCTGTGTATAATGTTAATTATTTGTAGTGTAAAGTTTCACACCAGCTTAAATTTGTTGCTTGTTTTGGCAGTACATACTAGGACTGCTAATTAATTCTTGATAGTCTCATTTTCAAGCAAGGTTTCTTTTTGTTGCAGTCAACATTTATTGTTTTCTGTTTGTTTATTTCATTCAAAAATATTTACCAGACTCTAATTATATGCCAGACACTAAATAAGACAGTGAACTAAGAGGCATCGTGACCTTCAAAAAGTTTACATTTTGGAGGGGAGAAAATTCAACTTCAAAATGACGTGTTCAGTTATATTATTGGGAAGTACAGAGGGCTGTGACAACTTGGGGACTTGGTCCCCTAAATGGACCAGAAGAGTCAGAGATAGCTTCCCAAGCTGAGAATTAAAGAACAAGCAGTGGTCATCCAGATAAAGGAAGATGAGGACATTAATCGAGATAAAGAAAAGAATATACTAGGGCCCCAATGAAAAAGAGGACCTTGGGCAACCCATTCAAGATCCCTCCTGAAAATTCAGGGGCTGCTGTTCTCTTCTTATTTCCAATAAAACTTTCCAACCTAAAAAAAAGACCATAAACTTTTGGGGCCTGACAGTAGTCAATGTAGAGAATGTGAGGATGTATTCTAGTGAAGGAACTGTAAGAAATGAGGTTAAGAGATGCCAAGGCAGTAAGGGCCTCATAAGCCAGACTAAGGTAACTTGTTGGAAGGCAGTTTCATATTTTAAATCATTCAGACGTTGGGATATAAAATGCTAGTCACAAAGTATTGATGTGATCTTATTCTTAAATGACTTAGTATGCATCAGGACATTAATTGGTTTGTATGTTTTCTGAAACAGACATGGAGCCTCCTCAGATCAGCTGCCCTAAGGACATAGAGGCTAAGGCTCAGGAACAGCAAGATTCTGCTAACATTACCTGGCAAATCCCAACAGCTAAAGACAACTCAGGTGAAAAGGTAAGGTTTGTGGAAATATTTGCAGTCATTTTCAGATGGATACTAAACATTATGCAAATATATGTGATACTGAAGATCTACCATACTCTGATAATTATAATACAGTACTCCCTGTATAGTCGACTCATAAATGTTAATGTCTTATTTGGTAGAATGATCAGACTTAGTTTTTAACTAGAAATTTCAGATGAAAATCTCTACAGTGGAAACCGCATTACATGGATTTGTTGTACTGCTGTTTCTACTAAGATTACTTGACTAAAAATTCTTCACCCCTTATTAGGATTTGAAGGTCTTCTAAGAAAGAAAGCTGTCCTGGTTGTGCACATCCTAACCCCAGCATCCAAAAAGGTGAGGCAGGAGGATAGGGCAAGTTTGAGCC